CAGGTAAAGGCCTATGGAAATCCTACAGAGTGTCACATAAATGGTTCTTTTTTTCTTTTTAATGAGGAATATAATGTGTAAAATCACAATATTTTTGTTACTATTTAAACATATTCCTCAGGCATCTATTCACATATCAAAAAACAAGGAGGCTGTCTTAAAATGGTGGCTAGAATTGAGGAAACAGATGGAGGTACTTGGGATAGATACTTGAAACAGATGGGCAGGTGGCTCATTCATTCGGTGGATGGACATAAACACCGGCTGCTTCGGAGTGGCTGCACCTACTTCAGTCACTGAGCTGGCTCTTAGGTGGGGACTCACAGAAACAACCACCAGTGAGCTTAATGTAGACAAGAGTCAGATTCCCTACCCTCCCTCCCCCTAAGCCAGTGGTCGGCAAACTGGCCCCTTGAGTGTGGCTCTTCCACAAAATACCACGTGCGGGTGCGCACGTACAGGGTGATTGAAACTTCGTGGCCCATGCCACGGGGCCAAAGAGCCGCATGTGGCTCTCGAGCCGCGGTTTGCCGACCACTGCCCTAAACTAGCCAATCAACCAACAGCCTTTAAAGCAAGTTAAAAAAAACCCACCCCACAGCTTAAAAAAGAAAAAGCCCAGATTCCATCACTCATTTTGCTGGTCAACATTTTGAAGTTTGATCAAATCCATAGATGATGACTCTTTCTAGGCTAAATACTCTACCTACATTTATGTAGACATATTGTTTCTTATCCCAATTATTAACACTCTTTACTTAACAATGGATTGTCAAAATGCAGCCATTTCCACTGACTTACAGAATAGGCTTGATGTGAGAATATGGAGGAAAACGTACGTCTTGCTTTGGGCATAAGCCATGGCACTGCCAGTGTACTGGCTGAACTGAGACCAGGTCTGAAGCCTTTGGTTGCCAGGCCTATGGTGTTTGACATTTTACCCAGAGTCTAGTAACCACCAAATGAATAAGGGATAATTCCACACTGATCTATTCTAAAATTTAGTTCCCATTCCCACTCAGGACTGTGATAGTAGTCATAGAGTTAGTACAGATAATAAAAAGAAAACTCCATAGACACCGCTAATGACCACAGAGGCTTACTAAGAAACAATAGGTCAAAGCAATGCTCTGGGTTATTTCCAGGCATCTTAATGATTAAACAGGTTTAACTGCTTGTACCAGGGAATAGAATACAAATTGGCTACTCCCACTAACTTTAAGTTGGTTGATTTAGTAGATGCCTCTATTTTTTGTTTCTTTCTTTGACCTCATCTTTTAATGAAAACTTCATAATGTTTACCAAATTCCTTTCACTTCAAGTAATTCACATTTTATTGTCATTTATTTTTTTACCCTTTCAACAATGTTTTAGTCTTCCTTGACAATGAAAATTGTTTAAGCCTGAAGTTTACTAGAGTTCTAATTCCACAGCCGGGTTCAGGCTTTGGTTGGCAGTGGAGGATTGCTCTGAGAGTTTAGAGTACTTTGCAAATTTACTGGTCAGATTAGGATTGAGTAATTCATCTCATTCGATCCGCTCCTCCATCTACACAACACAAGTCAATGTTTGTTATGACTTTCTTGATCCTTATTTATAAGACAATACAAGAGGAAACCATGTGTGTGTGTTTGAAATAGAAATGATACATTGCGCAGATATAGTTCACCACGTTCTGGGATGGGTTGACTGTTCAAATGGAGAGTCGGAAGAGTAGGAACAGATGCTTTTTTTCCTTAATGGCTCTTTCTCTCATTTAAAATCCTTCCATTTATTTCCCTAAGATTTAGTGATAACTTTAAACACTTTAACTAAATTACCCAGCGGCTTGGCAGCCATCACAGAGGCAAATCTTTTTAGAAATCCTAGCAATCTGTTAGATTGTGGGTACAATGACATAAAATCTGTGTGGCTCCATGTACAAAAATTAAATCAGTGCAACGGATACAAACACATAATGCAAATGGCACCGTCTCCAAACCGAGGGTACATGACCCGCCTCTAAATATTGAATTTTATTTTTTTCCCCCAGTCATTGACTTTCTAAATTTGGGCCAATTTATTCTCATTATCCCTAAGTAAACCTACTTTGATTTTTTTTAACAGTTATTTTATAATCAAATAGAGCCAGCCAGCCCTGGATCCTGATGTTGCTAGGATACATAGTTGGTACTTGATGAAAGTATATCACTTCAAAGGGGAAGGTTTTCAAGTGTCCTAGAAAATGACACTCCCGCCTTCCACTGTGGAAGACAGGCCCAATCCTCGAGCTTCTTGGAAGCTCAGGCTGCAGGATTGGCCTCCCATGCTTTGAAGTAAGCATCCTCTCTGGAGGGCTTGTGCAACTGCTAAAACCAGTCAGGTTGGTCTTAAAGCAAGGAACACACGTATTTATAATAAAACACGTTTTCATGTTTGTTTTATAGTGAAGAGAAAAAACCCAGAACCCCCAGATTTTATGTACTTTGAAAATATATTTAAAAACATTAAAAATTCTATATTTAAAACATATATTATATGTTAATTAGTACACTTAAATAGAACTTGTATTTACAATAGGCTTCTGATGCCGTTAAGTTTTAATGCCAATTTTTTTCAATAACATAATTATATAAATATACTAAAATACAATAAATATTTTTTGTTTGTTTTACATGGTGAATAATATCTTTACCATAGAGAGAACAAGGCCACAGACATTTACTTACATTTTCAATGGGAATCACCATAAAAAAGCAACAGGCCCGCTGCCATGCATGAAACACTTCTGCCACAAAGAGACCACAGCAAGACTTTAAAACAAAACAAAACGGAACAGAACAAAAATGAACAGCAACAGAGAACGATCTTAACAAAATAAATCTTAGGTCAACGGAAACCACCAAGCGTGACTGTGATGTAATTTATTGGGTAAGAGAGAGCCACTGACCACACAATTGCTGAATGTCTCTTATTCGACCACTCAGCAGACCTGCCCTTTGAGCTCTTGGAGATTGTGATGGGGACTCTTTTCTTTTTCTTTTTTGTGTTTTGTTTTTTTAAAATAATTTCATCCCTCAAAACGGAGCTGCAAAAAGTTAACATACAGCGGATAACCCACATATTCATTACATGTTCAAAATAATTACAAAGACAGTATTTTCAAACAGTACAAAACAAACCTATGCTATAGAAATGCTTCCTTCAATGACAGGTATTCAGATGGTACTGTAAAAGATAGGCTCATTCTAAATGAAAGACTGAACAAAGTGAAATTATTTGCTGATAGTATCTTCATTCCCTGGGTCATGGTGGACGTCCCCTTTAGCTTATCCGTCACCTTACTACGAGACAGCAATGTCTTGAGGTTTTTTGATACTCAAGAACACTGGTTCAGGACACTGTCAGATTTGGACAGTGGGCTGAAAGGGACAATAGGCTTAGCCCTAACTTTCACTGGAGTCCATTTTTGCCTGGACCACCATTCCAGGCTCCCAACTTGACTTCTCCTAACCCAAGATGGCAGAGGTGAGGCAGGGACTCTCTCCGTGAACAGACAGGATGGGCAGGAAGTGGCTGTGGCCTTCACTGGGGAGCAAAACTCTGCCAGTTCTGTCCTGGCCTCTTCCATTGAACAAGGCACCTTCGAGTGTTTGGTGTCCTAGCTGTGCAGATACCTTCCCAAAGCCTTGTCTCTGGACAAGATTTTCTATTGGTAGCCTTGATCATTCAACCTGAGTTTTTGGGGTCTTTTCCTGTTCCCTTCCCCCTTCCCCAAAGTTCTCAAACGACAAAACCCTGGTTTCCTCAAGTCTAATTTAAAAGCTGTCAGTGCTCAGGTAGCTAACGCGTTGTATCTCATAGCGTAGGTCTCATCATCACAATGTCGCACTTGGTTCTGAGCCTGCTCCAGGCTAAGCCAGCTTCATGCAATTATCCAGGGGTGGAGGGCCTTAAGTCGGCTTGAGCATGGTCCTCCAGAGAGAACCTCTTAGCACAGTTAGGTAATGTAGGCACTTAAAGCGGGAGGTCCAAAGCAACTTAACATGTGTCATTCCAGAGCCACCTCTGAAGGGTCCTTCAGAGGCCTCCCTTTTGGAATGTCTCAAGTACCATTCCCCACCCCCACCTAGACCTCAGGATGGCCACTCAGAAATTCCTCCTGCGCCGCCCGAAAATACGTCAGCTCCACACAGCCACCATATGGCCAATGTTCAGTCTCATTTCACTGGCCGTGTGGGCACCTGTTCTGATCTAGGTGTCTCTGGGTCCATACAGAACTCCACCTTTTGCTCGCAAGACATTTTTAAGCCTTACCATGATTTTTCTTTTAAGCCTTACAATGATTTACCCAAATTGTTTACCTCTTATTTTAAAAAAAACCTTTGTCTTTGTTTTGTTCTTTTTCTCATCTAAAGAAGAAAGAAAGAAAGAAAGAAAGAAAGAAAGAAAGAAAGAAAGAAAGAAAGAAAGAAAGAAAGAGAAAGGAAGAAAGAAAGGAAGAAAGAAAGGAAGAAAGTCACTATTCTCCATGCTTATAAGTGCCACAATGTGACATTTGTTCAAACATTCACAGCAGTGGTAAACTATTTCAGAGCACGGAACTGATTTTTCTTCCTTAAGAGAAAACAAGAAGGGACCAAAGAGGGAGTGGGGGGGAGAGAATGTGCTCTAAGTTAATGTAGGTCTTTGCAACAAAACAAGCTTTCCCTGTGACCAAGGCCCAAAGGGTGAGTGAGAGCCTAGGAGGTGCACTGTGGGAACTGGAGTGAGCACTTCGTTCAGTTGCCTTAATTTTTATTCACTTTCTAGTCATCTGATTGATTTTGCAAACATCTCTACAACATAAAAATGAGTCTTTTATCAACCAGAATATATATTGAAGGGGTTCTTTTCCCATCCCTACTCCCTGTGGGAACTTAAAAACAAAAACAAAAACTAACAAACAAAAAAAACACAAAACAAACAAAAATAGACCCCTCCCATTCCCCATCCCCTAAGCCAGTAAAGCGATGACAACAGCACCTTGACATTGTTTTAATTCCAATGCTATCAGAATTTTAAAAGCAGTAAAACAGAGTACTAACAAGAATGAAGATACTTACTGTCTAAAATGTAAACGGAATGTTTTGGTTCAAATTTTTGTTGTCGGTTTTTGTTTTGTTTGTGTTTTTTTTGTCTGTTTTCTGAAAGAGGACAGTTTATTATCAATTCACAATTAAAGCAGCATGCAATTTATTATTATCTTTTTAAAACTTTTTACGTTTTTCAATTCTTGGCAACGGCAACAAACCACAACATGATCGAGGAATGTAATGCAGACTTTGAAAAGTTGTGCGCAAAATGACTGTTTCCCTTCTGGTCATGGGTATGTCCAATAAATAGATTGTAGAACCACTGTACTGTATAAACTTCATTTATACATGCAGTTCATAAAATTATTTTTTTTCTTAACTGAATAATTTACCCTGTTATGTATATATACAAATAGATAATTTTTTGTCTCAATATAATCTATACAACATAAAGCCACTATCTTCCCCTTTTAATGGTCAGTGTACATACACAGGAAGTGTCTATCCTTATGAATCGCCAGCCAATTCGCTTTTTGCTATCCATGGTGAGGGCCCGCACGTACGACTGGGTAGTTCGGCACTGGGAGTTCCAATGCCTCTTGTCTATGCCCCTGCAGCCCTCCTTTGTGTAACCCATGGGATTGCACTTGGTCTCGTAGAAGTACTGCTTCAGCTGGCCTTTCGAGACAGGGACTTTTTCCAGGACCGTGACCGTCCCGCCCGACATGTCCACTGCAGTCTTTTTATCCGCGGCCGTGACCCACTCGCTAATGCTGTCGCACACGCTCAGCTCCCCGCGGCGGGCCGGGTCGGAGTGGCGCCGGACCCTCATGGACATGTTTGCAGCATCCAGGTAATTTTTGTATTCCTCGAGCAGAAAGAGAAGAGGCGGCTCCAAAGGCACTTGACTACTGAGCATCACCCTGGACGTGTACAAGTCCGCGTCCTTATTGTTTTCTTCCTGGGGCCGGGCTTTCGGGTCCTCATCCAGCAGCTCTTCGATCACGTGCTCGAAAGTGTCAGCCAAAGACGTCAGGCCTCTGGAACCTGCCTTGGGCCCATTCACGCTGTCCAGAGTCCCATGGGTCCGCACACCTGGGTAGGCCAAGCTGCCTTGTCCTCGGACGTTCGCTTCTTTCATGGGGGCAGCCTTCATGCAACCGAAGTATGAAATAACCATAGTAAGGAAAAGGATGGTCATCACTCTTCTCACCTGGTGGAACTGTGGGGAGAAAGCAGAAACAGGGCATGAAAGTGGTTAGGGCTTTCTTTGGCAGAGGGATACGATGCAGCCCATCTGATTGTCATTCCAGGCCATTCTGCAGGGGCAAGGTTTGGTTTTTTTTTATGGATCGGTGATAAACTCCAGCTGCACCAGACACAAGTTAATGTCAGGAGTGTGCTGTACGTGGTTTAATATAAACCAGAGGCGTGCAGTGTTTTCTCTGAGGTTTAGCATCTAACCCCGAGATTTGGTGGCGTCCAAGCAAGTGGAAAAGATTGTGGCTTCACGTTTTCCACCTTCCTCCTCTCACTTTAGAAGCTCTGGGAGTTAAATTTTTAATGATCTCTGCTCAGGCTGTCACAAGGAACACAACATCAGAAATGTTACTAAGCAACAACTGTAAGTGTAATAGTACTTTTTTCCCCCCAAGTTAGCAACAGGGTCCTCTTGCAGGAGTGTGTGGCCTGGGGGGGTCTGAGTGGGCCTTTGTTGCTATGTGATAACTAGGCATGAATAGCACAATAAAACAGAAGTCAGGGAGTTATAAGGGGGCTTTTCATTGACGTTTTTTCTCCCATAATAATCTATTACAGCAAAGAAGACCCAGCATCCTGTTTTACAAATAAGGAGACCAAAGGCCACAGAGGACTTGTCTCATGTCATGAAGAAAGATTACAGTAGAATGAGGGCCCCCAACCCCAGCTCCAGGGTTTTCCTACTGCACCTGGGTGGTCAGAACTGAAAATGTTTTGCTTATTTCCAAACAGAAATCATTTTCTACACATTGATTTTAATGATGTGTCTATGCCTAAGGCTGATATCATGAAAACAGTGTCTGCTTAAGAGAAAACTGGAAAAGTCAGGATCAAAAAGGCACTGAAGTCCATTCAAATGACTCCCATAGGCAGCTCCACATTTATTTCCAGAACTCTTGGAGCCCCTCACCCCTGGGTTTCTCAGGCTTATATACGGAACCCATCTAAGAGAGTGCAGCTTCTCTTTTGTTGGAAATGGGGTCCTCTGTGTGTGTGTGTGTGTGTGTGTGTGTGCGCGCATGCTCGCTGCATCTGCGCACCCTGAGTTTATCATACCTTTAAAAAGCTGAGTGGCATTTTGCACGTTTTTGGAATAGGCAGCCAGTGCTTCTTTCTGTGCTTTTGAAGTTTCCTGGGAAGTCCCTTAACAGCACACCACAAAATTAATCTCTTCCTGTTTGCCAGAGGGTTGCTATCCTCTAAATTTGGCTCTACTTCTACACGCATGCTCTGGGAGGCCAATTAGAATGGATGAACAAGCAAAATGAAACATACCTACAGACCAACCCAAGGTGACCGTCAGATGGTGAAGGACTTCAGAGCCACTTACCTGAAGCATCGGGTCCCTCAGCAGTAAGAGAAGCCCAGACACTAACTTTATCCCTGCGTTCAGTTCTGGAGCATGGACTTACAAGAGGACACACATGTGCCAATCAGTAGGAAAAGGGATCATTTTCCTGTCCATGAAGTGTTACTGACTGGAAAGGCAACCTGCCTCGTTCAATATGTCACACTGCAGAGACGGCTGAAAACTCTGGCCTTGAGAAACAAATGCTTCCGTTTTCCACTTTTACAAGAGATCACATTTGCTACCACCAACAGACTTTATTATCATCCCCAAACACCAACCAACTCCTTTGTAGATTCATTCTCCCTTCGCACGAAGAGCAGGCCTGCTCAGCACTGCTTGCAGCGCACAATGGTCTGAGGTTAGGAAGGGTGCACTGGTTTGAGTAAAACACAGATGTCCATTCTGCTAATACCTGGACTTTTGTGAATGTTCTGGATTCTGTACCATCAAAGAAATGGATCCTCCAAGGAGGTTTCTATTCCTGGCAGGCGGTACTTACACCATTGAATGAAAATCCTTCCTCCTAATGTTCCCAGTCCAAATGAAAATAACCCAAGGGACACCTCTAATGTAGGTCGGTGAAAGGATGCAAATTTAGAATATACTCCAGCCATCTCTAGCACACTGGTAGAGATTTGCAGTGATCAGCTCTCTTTTAATATTATATTTCATTAAATCTAAGATATTATCATTGTAAAATATACCATTTTATGTACCACTAAGAAATTAAAAATGCAGCCAATAAAACTGCTGTTTATCACTTAGAACTACTATTGTATATTTACTCAAAAGAGTTATTTTACACTTATTTGGATAGATTTATCATATGTAATTTTTTTATGTATGTAATAAAATTAAGCAAAATAAATTGGCTCAGGCAATGGCAATTATATTGTGACTGCTGCATAGCCAACAAGAACAATAAAATGACATCAGCTGTAAGACACAATCCAAATTCAGAGATGCTAAAGAAAAAGTGCATCTTAGAGCAAACGAAGCAGAGTTTCTTTTTTTTTTAAATCTTTATTGTTGGAAGTATTACATATGTTCTTCTTCCCCTCTCCCCCATTGGCCCCTTCTAGCCCTCCCCACCCCCTAGGCCTTCACCACCCTATTGTCTATGTCCCTTTATGCATTTTTTATGCATACAAGTTCTTTGGCTGATCTCTTCCCACCCACCTACCCATCTCTGCCTTCCCTCTGAGATTCCTCAGTCTGTTCCATGCTTCCATGTCTCAGGATCTATTTTGTTCATCAGTTTATTTTGTTCATTAGATTCCACATATGAGTGATATCATGTGATACTTGTCTTTCTCTGTCTGGCTTATTTCACTTAGCATAATACTCTCCAGGTCCCTCCATGCTGTCTCAAAGGGTAAGAGATCATTCTTTTTTACTTGTGCATAGTATTCCAGGGTATAAAGTACCACAGCTTTTTTATCCACTCATCTACAGATGGGCACTTGGGCTGTTTCCAGATCTTAGCTATTGTAAATTGCACTGCTATGAACATAGGGGTGCACACATTCTTTCTGATTGACGTTTTGGGTTTCGTAGGATATATTCCTAGAAGTGGAAGCACTGGGTCAAATGGCAGTTCCATATTTAATTTTTTGAGGAAACTCCATTCTGTTTTCCATAATGGCTGTACCAGTCTGCATTCCCACCAGCAGTGTACTAGGGTTCCCTTTTCTCCACATCCTCACCAGAACTTGTTGTCTGTTGATTTGTTGATGGTAGCCATTCTGCAGAGTAACTTTAATAAGTATTTATTAAGTGTCCACACTAACTGCTTAAATTGCCCAAAGAACTGAGGCATCTTAACTACAGATTTGAAAACTTGTTTTATTACCACTAACATAGTAACAAGTCTTTTCTTAAGGTTATTTTTGATAATGAATCTTTTAATGATACCCTTTTTATACCAGCCTTAAAGAAGTTTATCCTGCCTTTCATTGGTCTCATTTACCTTTGTATTTTTTTTTAGTTGAAAAAATGGTTAGTTCTTTATATATCATTTTCTCATCAGTTCCAGAAGCAAATATCAGAGGGACAAATAGCGTCTGAATAAATATTAGTTGGCTTTCATCCTGAAGCCTAACACAGGCATCCCTCAAAGCAGAACATCTGCATAGATTTAGTAATTAATCACCTGGTGAAAAAGTCCATCCCCAGGCCCCCATGAGTGACACTTCTTCAATGCTAACTGCCTACTCACAAGCCTTGAGGTCAGGTGTACCTGACAACAAACCCACACTTTTTGTCAGAACAATGTAACTTCCTAACTTTTCTGTTTCTGACAATAGTTTCTAGATACTTTGGACCACCGAGCCACAGGCTGGAAATCTTGAAATCATGTTTGACAATACATTTCTTGTACAGCCTTCAAATCTGGTCATTGGAGAAGTCCTGCTCATTTTCCCTTTAAAACACTTCTCCTGTCCACCCCTCTCTCTCCAGCCCACAGCCACCTTCTTGGCTCAGCCCTCACCATCTCATTGTGTGACTGCAATGTTCCTCTGATGTACTCGACATCCTTTCTATTCCATTCAACTCTAATAACCACTGCCTGAATAACCATGCTCATCTTATCATTCTCTTACACAAAAACTTACAATCGTTTTTCTTTTCCCCTCTACCAGATCAAATCTAGTCTCTTTTATCTGGTATTCAAAATTGGCCTCACCCTACTTAGCTAACTTTATATATCACTAATTGTTTCATCTCTGCTGTTCTGATCAGGCCAAAGTCCTGGGAGCCCCATACACATTATTGCCTGTAAGTGACTTGTTCCATTCTCTTGGCAAACTCCTTTCTCTCTGTGTGACTAAATCCTGCTTATCCTTCATGACCCAGTTCAGATATTAAATCATGTATGCGCACCTTCTCTAATTACTCCTACACACACTCTCCTCCTGCTCCTTTAAAATTCCACATTACATCTCATTCAGCACTTCATTCCCTACTCATTTGTTCATTGTGAATGTATTTGCCAATGACGGTCAGTCTTTAGTTGAATGATAAGTTCTCCGAGGGAATGGATCATGTCTGATCTCCCATCAGCTTAACACAGAATAATGTAATAGTGTCCAGTAAAAACGTACTGATGAGCTCATTAAACCACGAGAAAAGACAGTTCTGACATCATTTCATGATATCCTTTGGAAGGCATCAGTGAACTCACTGAAATCATTAGATCAAGCATAGGCTGTGCTAAACCCAAATTATAAGCTCTAAGAAATTTGATGGATTATCACCCATGAGCAATCGCTAGAGTTTCTCTAATAGGGTAAAACCTTACTTGAATAATTAAGCAAATAACACTACAGCATACTAACTGTCCCTACTACTTCCTGTGTAGCAGTGTTTCTGACATCAATAGCAGACTTGGACAGTACTCAGGAATAATCATAATAGTAAAATGGGGAATTTTCAGTCTTTTAACTTCCTTTTTTAAAACTGACCTCTTCAATAATTTCATATACTGCATTAAAAATGATAAAAGTTTAAGAGCTTCTAAGATAATTTTTATGTATTAGCCATTCAGATGAGTCTTTATTACATAAAAGGCAAAGAGACTGCACAATATTGCTAAGGAGAGCATGAGTTTA